GGCGCCCAGAGAGAAGAAAAATAAGCGCTAACAACAAAACCCATCGCAACCGAGTCTGAAATAAACTTCAGTCAATCCACTGTGAAGTCCTTGTTACAAGGAAAACCACATCATTGCCTGTACAACATGTTTAGAGGGTTCAGTTCGAAGCATGCATGCACTCCTTCTGAGCTACGGTGGGACTCCATTCACTCTGCTTCCAGACCGTGGCTTGGAGCAGGAAAATATATATATATATTTATTTGAAATGTTGCCGTTCAAAATAAAAGGAAAATCCCCGAAAAGAAGAAGCCCCAAGCGGATCTCATCCTCTCCGAGTAGCTGCGATCACTACAATGACAACCATGTCCCTTTTTTTTTTTCATTCATTTTCAGGAAATATTTACATTTTATTACCACGAGCGGCATTGCTATTAATATTATTATTATTTTTACAACAGGGAGTTCCCCCCCCTCCTTTTCCTTCTTTTCAGCACAGCAAGACCACGCCGCCCCAGCAGCCACCTAAGCGCGTTACCTTGGCAGGGTCCTCCCGGCCACCCCACGCCCGCGCGCGCCGGGGTTGCGGGCGGCTGACGGGGGTCCCCCCCGCGCCCCTCCGCGCCCGGTCACTTGAGCAGGTCCTTGGTGTCGCCCGCGATGCGGGCCATGCCGGAGGCGCTGAGGGCCGAGAGGTGCGGCGGCGGGGGCACCTGGCAGATGGTGCAGGGGCACGGCAAGCCCGCCCAGTGCTGGAAGCCGCTGCCCAGCTGGAGGCCCGGCGGGGTGGAGGGCGCCTTGAGCAGCGAGTGGGGCGGCCGGATGGTGCCCAGCGCCGGCAGGGAGGCGGRCAGCGAGGCGGGGGTGCTGGCGGAGGAGAGGGCGCTGCCCAGGATGGGGTGCACCTGGTGCACGGCGCCCGCGGCGTGCGGGGGGTGCCCGGCCGAGTGTCCCACCGTGCCGCAGTGGAAGGCGGAGTGGTGCCCCCCGTAGATCTCGCCCACCAGCCTCTTCATCTCCTCCAGGGAGCTGGTGAGCATCAGGATATAGTTTCTGGCTAGCAGGAGGGTGGCGATTTTGGAGAGTTTCCGCACGGAAGGTCCGTGCGCGTAGGGCATCACCTCGCGCAGCCCGTCCATGGCCAGGTTGAGGTCGTGCATCCTCTTGCGCTCTCGCCCGTTGATCTTCAGCCGCAGCTGCTGCAGGTCCTGCTCCGAGAGCTGCTTCTTGATTTTGTACTTGCTGCCCTCCCCTCCGGCCTTGGAGCTCGTCCTGGAGAGGCCTTCCCCGGACATCTTCTGCACCAGGTCGTTCTGGGTGGAGGAGACGGAGTTGAGCCGGCTGTCTTGGTGGTGGTGATGGTGGTGGTGATGGTGGTGGTCTCGCAGGTACATCTCATCCATGTCTGGCGAGGAAGCTCTGCTGGAGACAGAGCTGGAGTCAGAATTCATTGTACTCGGGCTTCTGAGCAAGAAACTCTTCCCTGCTCTGGAGGTGGCAGAACAAGACAAGTCTCCTTTGAAAAAAAAGAACGAAAATGAGATGAAAAAAAAAAAAACAGACAGCAGGTTCTGGGAGGAGAAGACTTAAAAAAAAAAAAAAAAAAAAAAAAAAAAAAAAAAGGCTAGAGGAGGAAGAAAAAGCCCCTCAGCCCCCTCTCTCTCCAGTCTCTCCCTCTCCTTCTCTCTCCCCCTGGTTATTCAGCCTGTTTACGGGATGGCTAGTTAGTGTATGCTTGGACTAACCTCAGCCTGAAAAAGAGGGGCTTTTATAGAGCTGCAGCAGAGAGCAGAGACAAAAGGAGCCCTCCTATGTATAATCGTCTAGTTAGGATGACGTGCCATTATTCAGGGCGGTGCGCTTTGACTGTCCCATTTAGCAAGGACCCCTATTCATATTCATTGTGGTGCCACCCGGGACACCTCAGCCACGGACCATCAGGAGTCAAGGAGACACAAAACCCCTCTGATTGACACCACACACTCATCACTCCGTGTGCTCACCATCTCCTCCCCCTGCCCCTCATTTCCAATATAAAACCGCATCCCGTCTACAGTGGGGAGGCCAGGGGCTGCACGGGGGGGTGAGGGGGAGCTGGGCGGGAGGGAGTTTGCCGGGGAAGTCCCCCCACTCGCCGGGGGGGCCAGTGTCGCCCACCCCGTCCTGCAGCCTGGCCGGCTCCAGGCGCTGCTCCCCGCTTTGTGTTCGCTTCCCTCCCCCTTCCCCGGTCCCTCCCGTCCAGGGTTTCTCGCGTGGCACCGGCTCTCCCTCGCCTTGCCGGGCTCCTCGCAATTGGCTCGTACCTGGCTCGCCGCTTTGTTTAAAGCAGCGGTAACTCGAGGGCCGCGCAGAGCCCCGGCGGGAAGACGCGCGCGAGGGAAACGCGCCTCCCCCCGGGGCGCGGGACACGGGACACGCCGCAGCGGGGGCGGCCGGGCCCCCGGGAGCGAGCACCGGGGAAGGGGGCTCGGGGGCGCGCCCGGAGATGTCCCGAGGGGACCGAGCGGCTGCCTCCACTCGCCGGACACGCAGGCGGACGGGGGTCGGCCCCGAGGGGTAGCGCTGCAAAGAGCTGGAGGTGTTTGCGCCAGTAAGTAACGGGCTGCGCGGGAGCGCAGCGTGGAGGGGGCGGCCGGTGGGGCTCGCGGGGGGTCTGGGTGGAGCAGGTGCGGCCGCCCCGGCCCGTGGGGCCGCGCGGAGCCCTCGGGGCGGCGCGGGAAGGCCGCGC